ATAAGGATTTTGTCCACAGTTGCAGAGCTAATATGCACACCTCTGCTAATGGTAGGTAACTCACACCAAGCTGAAGAGCCATCTGATCAGAGATGAATGAATGGGGAACACAACAAATTGTAAATTTCATACACAAAATCAAGGAAAGTATAACTAGGTATGAGCACTCCATCTTGATGAAAATAGTTAGCAACTTCTTAGCTAAGCCCTGCCCCATCAACTTTATTCATTACAAATATTAAATAACAGTTTTCTATTTTCCTTGGTTTCTTTTTTATATTTTTTAGCCACTGTTATTACTGAACCATTTTCAAAGAAAATGTACTGAAAAGCACTTTCCATAAAATATCACACAAATTGTTGGGGTTAAGAAAAGGGGGGGAACTAATGAATTCACCATCTTTAGCCAATGAGAGTGTGCTATGAGATGCTAGATATAGCTAGATACATGACCATTTGTATAATTTACTCATTGTTGTTATAAGTATCAGAAGTAAAACCAAAATTCCCCTCTTTAATTTACGATAACAAAGAGTTCCCTACTATTAACTGCTGTCAGAGTACTCTAGGTAAAAAGTCCAATTTCAAATTTGGGTTAAATAGGCTAAATGGAAGTGGACCTACCTAGTTATACTTTACTTGCACTAAAATAATATGTCACATTCACAAACATTACCATCAGGAGTATGGGAGAAATAATATCTCAAAGAAAGATACTCGATAAAAGTATCTTTATCATAGTCACCACATGCATTACCTGTAATGGACTGACAAGTTGGGGAAAGATCTCTTGCACAATGCACAAAGGAAGATGTAGAATAAGCGTAAGACAGGAAGCCAAAAGCTGATCACGATACTGACGACAACGTTGCAGCAGTTCTCGCACATAGCTCATTAGAAGGTGGATTGATGTTTCCACCTCTGGGTCCTGATGGAATCATTCATTCATATATTATTAATCACAAGTAAGCAATGTTAACTAGTGTAAGAAATAAATGGAATGCTGGACTTAACCCATTAATGCTGGTATATTTTGAAGCCGAAAATAAGATTCCGGGTGGCTACAAAATCGGCACGCGGGGCGGCCTGCTGCTGTGTCTGAGCAAGAGCCCCGATACACCATCACACTGGTGGGACACCCGGCAATGTTTATTTTATCGGGAGTCTCATATGTGGGACACCCGTCATTAGTGGGTTAAGTTTCTATCAATTTATTCTAAATTTGATTTCTACTAGTCTTATTTTGCAAAAATTTTAACAGTAAAAGGAAACATATAAAATATCAAACCTCACCATGATACAATAATTTGTTTTCTCATGACTGTGAACACTACTGATCTATATTTCTTAAAGAGGCTAACACTCACCTGTTTCCTTGAGAAAAACTGCGTTTGGCGTGAACAAGTAAGAACAGTGGTTGTTGCATTATAATGGGCTGACACAAGAGGCTGGAGTGAGGACTGAGTCACAAAAAACCATACCAAGCGTGGTATGTGGGGCTCTAACTGATCTTCACTCTGCAGTGGTAATACTTTTTCCAAGAGTGATACCACATTCATGTACACCTGTAAGAGTTAGTGGATTGACTTTACAGAATGAATATTACTGTAATATCTATTAAAAGTATTATTCATTTATCATAAACTGCCATTAAAATCTTAGCATACAATAAACTGCCACTTCTCTCATGCTTATATTTAGTACCAATAAGATGATCATTAAGTTATAATTGTGCTTCAGCAAAAATATTTGTACTCTACAAATACTGTACAAACTTAGGCACAAGTGGACAATCTTCCAAAACTGATATATACTATGTTCAGTATCCAACTACTCACTTGAAAATCTTTTGGAACCTTTGCTTTCAATCCTGACACAGGATCTGAGGTTGCAGGATCTCCTTCATCGCTCCCTGACACTTCCTCCTGCTGTTGGCAAGATTAGCATAAAGCCTTCATCAAATATTTCTCAAGCAAAAAATTATGTCTTAGATATTTCCCTGGTGGTAGCATTTCTAAATTTTATATTTTTACTACAATTAATGAATGCTAAAATCTGTAGGATAAAATGTAGTTTCACAGCCTGCAGTTGTAAAATGGATTTTCCAAGAAACAATGAGTAAAAATGAATTAAATATCTACTTATATTCTTTGGAAACAATGTACTGCACGATAAATACATTGCTAAACCATGGAAACAGCAAATATCTGTTCTCATGAATACCTTTCATAAAAATCATGATCCTTGTAATAACTCAACTGTTAAACATATAACTGCTTACATCCACAAAAAAACTGACCTGTTGTAGTTCATTTTGTTTGTATGTAGTTAGATCAAGCTTCTCAGATATCTCCAATATACAGCTGATAAACTCAGAATATATAAAATTGCTCATTTCTGTCATAACTGTGGCTGGCATGCCTGTAAGAGATCAGAGTTCTGAGTTTAGTGTTCAGTAAATAATACATACATAGAACACCATTCTCATCTTCCAATACCTACACAGAATTGTGCAAAAAATAATACACAAATAAACTAAATGAACAAGACTTCCATACCTGACACCTTGATATTGGCCACCTTCTCTGGCACCATCAGGGCTGTCCACAGAGGGATGTAACTACTGAAGGTGACCACCT